TTTACCAATTGGTTTAGCTTCTGTGAGTAACACTTCAGTGAAGAATGTTTCTACTCTGTATTGGAAATGTTTTGCTACTACAACAGGGTTAAGATTAAGCATTTGGCATCTTTCATTGTAAGACAGTGCATCAACCTGTTCATCTGTAAGATTGTTACCTTGTATTCTTGCTAATATCTGAAATAGCTCAGGCCATCGAAGATCAGCGCAYGATAGTGTCATAAACCAMGTTGGTATYCCAAGTTGCTTGACCATTGCAATTACTTCATACATAAACTTTTGCCAGTATGGTGGTGTACCTGGTATTTGCCTTAGAAATAAGTATGCCTGATCCTGRCAAATGAGGTTTGTTAATCTCTGAGGRTTGTCCCTTAATTGWGAAGCAGTAACTGATTGACCATGAACTTTCTTCAGAGCAAKGTTTATACTATCTGATACTTTCTTCTGTTCAATGATATATTGTGCAAAAAAMAGATATTCTGGATTTGTTGCAAATCTTCCACTGCAATGGAGAAGCCTTGCATTAAAATACTTAACAGGAGTGATCTGAATTTTCCTTTCTGTTGTATACCCATATCTACCTTTAGGAAACAGTACTGGAAAAGCAAGCTCTTCACATTGTTTATCAAGCATTAATGAAACAGGATGTTTGTTTTCTCCAGGTSCTACATCAAATATTTCACTCCCAGTTGACTGACTATTGTTATTAGYAGGGTAGCTAGGTATAACAGACTGTAAACATGTCTCRTGCACTGCTGATCTGTGCTCATTAAGAGGATCRTCATCTTCTTCATTATCATTGTTCAGTCTACTTTCTTCCACAATATTTTCRCTTGACAGRYTGTSTTCTGTTATATCAGTTTGCTGTTTAGGATCACTATCTGTYGTAATATTGTTTGTACTGGCTYGTTGATTTGTGTCATCATATTGTAATGTTATGAGCGTGTTATCAATATTGTTTATATCAACTACAATRTCTTTGTATAGCAGATTGTTTGCTTTTAGCCAAGAAAGAGCTTCTTGCAACAAYTCCGGTCGWACTGCTTGAAAGTAAACATGYCCTCTAAAYTGCAACTTTCTCTTCAGTTTTAWCATTATGATACCAGATCTCTCAGGTGCACGRGGCAATTGGTTACATGTCTGGTCACATTCAACTGGWACATTRCATATTGCACCYTTAATTTTYCTYTGTTGTCCTTTTGGCATTATAATTATTTTYTGAAAAACTATACGTTGAGCTATTAATATTTGTTCTAGTTTTTCAAGGGAAGCTAGTTGTGGCGGTATTTCATCTACATTCATGCCATTACATATAGCCTGACATGGTAATTTTCCTTTTATGACTTTTGAGTGACATGTCTTACATATATACTCTTTCCCGTCATATGACTGTCTACTATTGAAATATGCTTGACAAGAGTACTTGTTCACATTGCATAGTTTCACTGATTTCTTATATAGTAGTCGATGGCATACATTGCATATGAAAAAAGGTCCTTCTCTTATTTTGATCTTAAATTGTTCAATGCATGATTCAATTGATGACATTTTGCATTTGTTATTTTCTTTTCTATTTTTTCTCTGGCGTTGTAATTGAGCCTTTCTAGCTGGATCAATTGATTTGTAATTGTAACTGAGCTTAGTTAACAATTCAGTTTTTTTAGTTGAGTCCATNAGTGAAAAGCCCGCGAAGGGATTCAAACCGGTGTCTTGGCAAGAATGAAATAAAGTCTACTTTGCTCGATTCAATGACTCCTCGGTTGCTGGAAAAGAAAGAAAATTGTAATTCTTTATTGAGAGRCATCCACTTCGAGTCGATGAAACTGAAAACACACAAGACAATTTTGAATCAGTGTGCATGAGCTCGTTCAAATGCAAAGCTTTATCAATGAAAACAGCTGAAAAACAGGCAAACTATCAAGTTTACTTTTGCAATTGCTCGATGCAATAACTCCTCCGTTGCTGGAAAAGAATAAGAGCTTGCACTGTGAAGACATTTAAGCGTTCGCAATCTGGGTTCCCTGTTTATCATAAATATCACGTGACATCCGCTGCTGGGTCAAATATATGCGGAACTTCAAGGTTGTGAGCATATATTTCGCATAATAAAAGTAGACCAATATACACCATCTCTTGCTCAAGAAAACATCATCTATCAACAACCAGAGGTAAATATTTTTTTATTTTATAATCTGATTTCTAAAAGTGTACGGCTAGAGCTTGAAGTCATCGTTAAAACGGTAATCTATAGCGCGGTTTCTCATCGAAAGTTTACAAGAGCTCAGACATATTAAAATAARCACATATTGTCAATTTTAATGTCACAACGTCTGTTGAAGTCTGCATATCAAAAGGTTTCAATAAGTTTGATACTGTTCTTRGCCACTCTCAASTTWAATGSAGATTAATGCTGAGTTTCAAATTGTCCTCCTCTTTGACTTTACGACTACGCAAAATAAAAAAACATCTAATATATTCCGAATATACATATATGCATTGACTGTTTCGACAACTAGTTAGGTTTTATTATTTCTGACTGAAACAATATACTATTTGATCAGAGGTCACTCAATAATGCTTATAAAAAATACTCAAACGATTTCAGTTATATATAGACGAATAAGGCAAACGTGAGTTTTTCCGCATATGTTTAGAGATCTCGTCACGGCAAGTTGTCTGGCTTTGTTTGGTGCTCATTAAATATGAAATATTCGTGAATTGAGGATCACACAACATATTGTTCGCTTGTAAGATTGAGATTGCATATATTACATGTATATTATGTTTCTTTATAAAGTTATATAAAAGCTGTTTTGAAAATCTTGAGCCAGTATAGAATACTTTTGTACTGCCTAGTGTTTTTCACCACCAAAATGCATTCGTAATATAAACTGGCGTTACAAAGCTATTCTTCYCGTCGAAGCCTATGAGATTGAATAGAGACAACTGCTTTTAAAACGGTGATACAACATCGACWAGCAATTATGAAGTTGTCCGGCGGACTGTCTAGGAAAGCCAGAGTCATGATATGCCTTGTAGGCACTATGCAAACTAAATAGGGTCAAGTCAAGGTACATCAACGATGAATGCTGACAGTTTTGAGTCGCTATAGCACAGGATAGTCAGTAATTTTTCGGTAAATTCGTCAACTGATGGTTTGGCGTTTATGTCAGAACGTATCCGGATCATATTCTCCAATATCAGTATTATGTACTGTGGAAAGTAATGCACTAGTAATGCACCCCCGACCCCCGACCCCCGGGGAATACCGGGGAATTTAACGTTTGAGTGCTGTTAAAACATTAACTATGGTTAAAATAAGACATTTCCCCCGGTAGTCGAGGGCACATTCATTGTTAAAATCCCCGCTACTGTTGCCCCGCTATTTTGGTAGAAGTAAATAACAAAGGCAAAGACCTTTCAATCATCAAATTTTCTGTGATACACAGAGTTAATTTTTGCACAATCCTGTGTACTCATTTGTGTGACTACATGAGGCTAACTGGACGGAGAAAAACATGTGTAATAAGTTTCTTTTAAAAACTTTTCATGCAAAGGAAGTTGCCAACGTCATACATGTTCAAGCGCGCGTTAAAATCCCTGCTCTTTGCCCCGCTTCGAAAACAATTCACCAAAATCCCGACCCCCGGGACAATCTTGCTGTTAAAAGCACGTTTAAAACGCGTCACGTCCCCGTTCAGTTCCCCGCTAGTCCCGGGGGGCGGGGGTTTCAATTGACTAATGCATAAGGCGCTATGTGCCCTACAAGCACTACAGAGAAGGAGTACTGTGGAAAGCAATTAAACTGGCAAAAAAGGATTTGTGGAAACTTGAAAATAAGAACAAAATATTTTTTTTCTTGCTGTTTGGATGGGTTTATTATATTGTGGCGGTTTGATGTTTTATGCTGATTTTAGAAGTTGCTTTTCGGTATTGCTCTCAGTTTTATCAGTTTTATCGTCGGTTTTAGGTTAAGTCAAGACATTGATCAAAACGCCAAACGCGTCAAATTGGCTTTTATGTTTTGTGTCAAAATTTCCAACAAACGTAAAAACGCTTCGAAAGGAATGGCGATGCACTTATGCACGAAAAAGTGATCTACCTAATACACAATCGCGAAAGAACGGAGCGTTAATACAGAAAAAAAGTGATCACGTGATCAGTTTTGACGTTTGGCGTTCGCCGTATACACGGATTTGCCGATTTTGCCTGTTTGCGGCGAAGTTTGCTGGTTCAATGTCAATGTACTTTTATTTTGCGGATTTTGGGTATGTTAACTCCCTAGTTTAGCAAAGACTGTTTGAGTTACTGTTCTTTTTTTACAGATAATTCTTCCTTAAGATGATTTACTCGTGGAGGAAGGCTATTTCAGTTCTTTTGATGACATTTTACCTCTTGCAGAATATCAACCCAACTGGTATGTATTATAGGAAATGTGCAGTGCTTTCTTTTTCTCGCGAAAAAGGTAYATAAACTCAACGCTGAAACTTCGCCAAGGGATTGGTGCATAAATCAATAACAGGGTGTGAGAGYTTTGTGTGATTTCGTAAAAGTGAGAAATTCACAATTAAATAACGTCATACAAATCAAAATAACGGTAAAATATAGAAGGGAGGGATGGTTACAGAACCACTGATAAAGGGCCTGTGCTCCTTGTGATTGAATTATAGGTACAATGTCACAATTCTAGCGCTCTTTGGAGGTCAGGAGATGTCCAATTGTAGCTGGCAATAAATTTAATAGTGATGAAATATCATTTTTATATGAACTACAGTTTCCTTCCCTTCTTCTGGTGATATTCGACTTGTTGGTTCATCAAATTCGTCTCAAGGCCGAGTAGAAATCTTTCATAGCGGCTCCTGGGGCACAGTCTGTGATGATTATTGGGACATAAATGAAGGCAACGTTGTCTGCAAGCAGTTGGGCTTTACTGGTGCCATTGCAGTGTATTCGTCTGCATTTTTTGGACAGGGACATGGTACGATATGGATGGATAACGTGCAATGTAATGGCAATGAAAGCAGGCTTGAAAACTGTACACATAACGGATGGGGAGTACACAACTGTGGTCACTCTGAGGATGCTGGAGTAGCTTGCCGCCCTAACACGACTTGGAATGGTGAGTTTTTAGGGGCGATTCATTTGAATCGGGTGGGGGTGGGGGAAATAAAAGACTTTGTCCGCTTGTATTTTTTTTTTTTTTTTGCAAATTTACAAAAGCTTTAGTGCAGAATTTTTCAAAATTTTGCCATAGCAGTATTTCATTTCAAAATTCTGATGGATCACCCCTAAGTAGATTTAAGATTCGGTTTTGGTGATGTCCGAAATAATCGAGGTCAATGGAAGTGTAATTTCACTTGCCGAGCCTTGAATATTCGTATATCTGACAAAAACTATTTTTGAACTATAGAGCAATTTTATTTAATCCACCGTGAAATAAAAACTAAATAGTTCTTAACAATTAGTCACTATTTTTTACTCAAGCAAGTCATCTTATAGTTCAATACTCAGGAGACAAGTTATTTCATTTATCTTTTTTTAATGATACCTGCACAGTACAAGTGAAATAAAGAATAAATGACTTAAAGGTGTGGGGATTAAACCTCCAATATTTGATGCCCCATATAGTGTGGCATTTGCCATGTTATATATGCCTCCCGTCCCAAGGTGGGGATAATAGCCAATAAAATCCAGCCTGTGGTTATGGAYACGGGCAAAGAAATTTAGTGCAAGTCGCAAAAATGTTCTTATAGATCTGATTGTTGCAAAGTACTATATATGTCATGATTTCCTCACTTGAATGTCATCCAAATCTTATTTTCCTGATAAAAATACGCAAGTTTCGATCTCATACGGCTCAAAACTTTGATATATGTTCTTGGGTTCCCTGTGTGTGACCATGGAGTGTTTGAACCAGTATATTGTCAGTAAAATGTAGTTATTGACATTACATGATAACAAAAATTTCAAGATGAACTTCATATAAACAAAATGCACTTTTGTCATTGTCTGGAGCACAATCTTTGGACATTTGACAACTAAACAGGTCCCCAGGTAGGAATTTTTACTGGACTTGGTCAATTTTTCATCCCGACAGTGGGGCTTTTGACAGGAAAAAAAATGTCTAATCCCCACCCCTTACCCGGCCTCCCTCGGGGGGCTTTTAAAACATTGATAGGTGCATTATTCATTGTCCATTATATCAAACCCTTAGGTTCTGGCAACTGCAATTTCGATTCATTATCATTTTGCGGTTATGTAAACGAAAAAAATGACAATTTTGACTGGACAAGGGATAGCAGTGGTACACCATCATATGGCACTGGACCCCGAGCCGACCATACAACTGGATATGGTAAGAAAAACATTCATGGCCAATATAGACCAATGGACTCGAATGGTAAATAGTCTAATTCCATTCGTCTCTATAGGTGGTCAATAATAGATTCATTCTATGACTTCAAGAAGTCATTTGCAGTCAAAATCTGTTCATATTTCATTCGGAGCCAAAAACTGGTCAGATGGGATCCCTGTCTTAATGACGATATTTCCGATCCCTACCACAACCTCCCGAGGTCACGAATAGATACCATTCGAACGATTYGTATAAGATAAAGTCCACTYGTATATAYGGAATTCAATTGGTKTACKTCACAACAAATCATCCATCAAATAATCCATACATTAGACAAGATGGTTCGCCGTATTACCTTATTTAGTTAGGCAAAACGTTATTTTTTCCTTCAAATTAACGTAAAAATAATTGCAACAAAATSTCTGATTATAATTCATTCTGCGTCTTTGTCGGCAGGGTATTATATTTACATCGAAACGTCTTACCCACGCCGTGCTAATGAAAAAGCTCGTTTGGTAAGCCCGTTGATAACCGGAGGAAAGTGTGTGGAGTTTTTCTATCATATGAAGGGRTCWACTATAGGGCAATTGAATGTCTACATCGAGAACAGCTCGGGTATTCGATCGAGAGTTTGGCAGAAAGTTGGACAACAGTCATACGACTGGCTTAAGGGTTTAGTCCCTGTCAATGGCTATAACTCTTATAAGGTTTGTTATGCGCGTTTCAAACTCTAAACCTCACAAGTACTTTTAATTAAAATTCAGTGCAATATAATTCACTGTTGGGATTCTGAGTTTGTGAATATTGCAGCAGCTGCAGGGCTTTTAAAACTGTTACCAACTGACCATACCATTTTACAATTCAGGTTATTGTTTTTGAACTTCCGTTCTATTTCTCAAATGGAGAAGCTCAATCACCACTATGCTATCTCGTCCATTGTTAAGCTTCCAGTCCTGGCCTCCTTTCGACCCGCTCCAGGACTCCCTGAGAAAGAGTCCAGTATGACTTTCATGCGCATGTCAGCTTTGTGAGCTCGGCATTACCACATGGAAGTGGTAATCGCGAGGTTATAATTGCCCCATTGCATAATTGCGCCACAAAACATTCTATTGTTTTAACACTAAGGATTATGATGCCAGAGGGGAGTGACTGCATATCAAAAAAAATGTACATAAGTAATCATTTATACATGATGTACATCAAGACTCTATACGCTAAAGTTCTACGTTCGGAAAAAWTGTTAATAGGTCCAAATTTCGATTCTTTCTGAACATCTATCCACAATGACGTCATTATGCAATCGGGCAATTCTTCGTACAATAGATAGAAAGTCATTTTCATCTGTGATTTTCGAGACAGATGGGGCTTAACACACACAAAAGCTGACTAATGAATCAAACAAAAAATTAATAATATTAATGTGAAATCGTCTTATTTAACAATGATAGGTCGTGTTTGAAGGTGTTGTCGGCTCAAGCTACACTGGCGACATTGCACTAGATGACATCAAGATTCTGAACACTCCATGCTTTAAAAATGTTTCTAGCGTTTGCACATTTTATGGAATGAATTTCTGTGGATAYACTGCAACAGCTGAAAGTGATTTTAAATGGTCAATTCGTCAAGCAAACGGGTACAGCTGGTATTATACGCCCTCAAAAGACCACACAAAGGGAAAACTCAATCAATATGGAGGTAAGATCGGTATCATGAACAATAGCATGGTATCATGACTAATTAGCCTTAACAGCTATTTAAAAAAAATAGTAATCTTCTAATTATTCCCAGTAATATTACTAATTATTATTATTAAATCATTATTAATTATCATTATTAAATGATACCGCTGGTAACGAAGAACGCGAGTTTGTTCTCGATTCGAAATTCAAATTGGCGCCGCTAGCAAATTGATCAACCAATCAGAGGACTCGTCTCTATCTATCGAGTAGCAGGCATTATTTTTTGTTCAAATTCGCAATAAAACTCWCTTTTATGTTGAAATTTAAACACCAAAGCTTTTCTAGTATTATGCTACCTTTTTAAATACTGCATTTATTCGGATAATGTACGATTTTCGAGCAATTAACATGCACTCGCGACGTCCGTCAGTGGGCGACCTCAATTTGAGCTTTTCCTTGAATGATCGATAGATTTTGTCGAGTTCTTGTAGTGGTTGATCAATTGCACTATTTCATTTTGACGTCAAAAAATCATTCAAAACATCAAAACATTCTATTGTTTTAATATGGTAAGAATTATGGTCTCAGAGGGGGTCAGATTGACGGCATATCAAATATAAAATGTAAATGAGCAATCTTTGATACATAACATTTATATCAAAACTTCATTCATCGGACGTTCTACCTTCGAAGAGAATATTATTTGGTTTAAATATCCACTGTTTTTGAGCATCTTTCTCCGATGTAAACATAGTGTAACGTCATAATGAAATAGGGCAATTCACCGGCTGTCATTTTGAATTTGTAATCTAATCAAAGCCGGCTATTACACCCCGTTGACTTATTATGCAATGTCATTTGCAAAAAAGGTGGACCAGGAAAACGAGGAAAAGAAGATTACAACTTAAATTTTTGTTGGTTCACGAGGTTGTCTAAAGCGCTATTCGCAGGAAAGCGCCCTAATTTCAAACAAAGTATTCGAGTAATTCAAATATTTGAATCTGAATTTTTGAAAAAAAAAATTGAATTTCAAATATTTCAGAGAAAAGTTCTGTTTAGTGGTGTTCGAGAACCAGGCATTTTTCTGAACAAAAACAAAACGAAATAACATTAAATTATTTTTGTCCTCATTTTAGGATATTACGCTTATATACAGAACTCGTATTATCGTGAGGGGAAGATYGCTCAAATGATAAGCCCTGAAATAATTGGCAAACAATGCGTGGAGTTTTATTACTACATGGGAAGCAGCAATGGAAATGGTGAACTAAACGTTTATATCGACGACGGAGTCAAGACCGTCATATCATGGCAACTAAAAGGTTATCAAGCGTCGAAGTGGTTGAAGGGAATGTTGCCCGTAAAAGGAAATTTGACATCTTTCAAGGTGCGTCCTT